AACAACAACTCATCAACAACAACCACTCATCAACAACAATCACTCATCAACAACAACTCAACAACAATCACTCATCAACAACCACTCATCAACAACAACAACCACTCAACAACAACAACGACTCACCAACAACAATCACTCATCAACAACAACTCAACAACCACTCATCAACAACAACGACTCATCAACAACAATCACTCATCAACAACCACTCATCAACAACAACAACCACTCATCAACAATAACAACCACTCATCAACAATAACAACCACTCATCAACAACAATCACTCATCAACAGCAACAACCACTCATCAACAACAATCACTCATCAACAACAACTCATCAACAACAACAACAACCACTCATCAACAACAATCACTCATCAACAACAACTCATCAACAACAACCACTCATCAACAACAATCACTCATCAACAACAACTCATCAACAACAACCACTCATCAACAACAATCACTCATCAACAACAACTCAACAACAATCACTCATCAACAACAATCACTCATCAACAACAACTCATCAACAATCACTCATCAACAACAACAACCACTCATCAACAACAATCACTCATCAACAATCACTCATCAACAACCACTCATCAACAACAACAACCACTCATCAACAACAATCACTCATCAACAACTCAACAACAACTCAACAACAACATCAACAACAACCGGTGTTTAATCAGCGATAACGGCAGACCAGCGCAGGATAACGGGGTAACTACATAGCCTGAGTAGCCATGGTAATGGTGATTCAGGGTAACGTGATAACAGGGTAACGTGGTAACGGGATAACAGGGTAACAGGGTAACGTGGTAACAGGGTAACGTTGTAACAGGGTAACGGTGATGCAGGGTGACAGGGTAACGGTGATTCAGGGTAACAGGGTCACGGGGTAACAGGGTAACGTGGTAACGGGATAACGGTGATTCGGGGTAACGGGGTAACGGTGATTCAGGGTAACGTGGTAAACAGGGTAACGATGATTCAGGGTAACAGGGTAACGTGGTAACAGGGTAACGTGGTAACGATGATTCAGGGTAACAGGGTAACGTGGTAACAGGGTTAAACAGTGGACATTGCAGCGTGCAATGTGGCGGTAGCTAAGAGTGGCGCTTCTCAGGGTAAATAACATCATCAAGCGTACGAGCGATGGTAACCCAGGGTAACCCATGGTAACCCAGGGTAACCCAGGGTAACCTGGTGGGTGGTAATGGCAGCTCTAGTAACCCATGGTAACCCAGGGTAACCCATGGTAACCCAGGGTAACCCCATGGTAACCCATGGTAACCTGGTGGGTGGTAATGGCAGCTCTAGTAACCCAGGGTAACCCATGGTAACCCAGGGTAACCCACGGTTACACCACAGTAACACAACGGTAACCCCAAGGTAACCACGGCAACACCACGGTAACACCACGGTAACCAAGGTTACACCACAGTAACCCCACGGTAACCATGGTTACACCACGGTAACACCACGGTAACCACGGTTACACCACAGTAACCATGGTTACACCACGGTAGCCCCACGGTAACCATGGTTACACCACGGTAACCATGGTTACACCACGGTAGCCCCACGGTAACCATGGTTACACCACGGTAACACCACGGTAACCATGGTTACACCACGGTAACCCCACGGTAACCATGGTTACACCACGGTAACACCACGGTAACCATGGTAACACCACGGTAACCCCACGGTAACCACGGTTACACCACGGTAACGCCACGGTAACCACGGTTACACCACGGTAACACCACGGTAACCACGGTTACACCACGGTAACACCACGGTAACCACGGTTACACCACGGTAACCCCACGGTAACCATGGTTACACCACGGTAACCCCACGGTAACCATGGTTACACCACAGTAGCCCCACGGTAACCATGGTTACACCACGGTAACACCACAGTAACCCCACGGTAACCATGGTTACACCACAGTAACCCCACGGAAACCATAGTTACACCACGGTAACCCCACGGTAACCATGGTTACACCACGGTAACCCCACGGTAACCATGGTTACACCACAGTAACCCCACGGTAACCATGGTTACACCACGGTAACACCACAGTAACCCCACGGTAACCATGGTTACACCACAGTAACCCCACGGTAACCATGGTTACACCACGGTAACGCCACGGTAACCATGGTTACACCACGGTAACACCACAGTAACCCCACGGTAACCATGGTTACACCACAGTAACCCCACGGTAACCATGGTTACACCACAGCAACCCCACGGTAACCATGGTTACACCACGGTAACCCCATGGTAACCATGGTTACACCACGGTAACACCACGGTAACCATGGTTACACCACAGTAACCCCACGGTAACCATGGTTACACCACGGTAACACCACAGTAACCCCACGGTAACCATGGTTACACCACAGTAACCCCACGGTAACCATGGTTACACCACGGTAACCCCACGGTAACCATGGTTACACCACGGTAACACCACAGTAACCCCACGGTAACCATGGTTACACCACAGTAACCCCACGGTAACCATGGTTACACCACAGCAACCCCACGGTAACCAGGGTTACACCACGGTAACCCCATTGTAACCATGGTTACACCACGGTAACACCACGGTAACCATGGTTACACCACAGTAACCCCACGGTAACCATGGTTACACCACGGTAACACCACAGTAACCCCACGGTAACCCACAGTAGCCGTGATAGTGGTGGTGGTGAGTCGGAGTGGCCAAGGAGGAGTGAACCACCACAGTACTTGATAACCCCGCGGTAAACCACCACCCCCCCCCCCCGCGGTGAACCCCGCGGTGAACCCCACGGTAAACCCACCACGGTGAACCCCACGGTAAACCCACCACGGTGAACCCCATGGTAAACCCACCACGGTGAACCCCATGGTAAACCCACCACGGTGAACCCCACGGTAAACCCACCACGGTGAACCCCATGGTAAACCCACCACGGTAACCCCCAAGGTAAACCCACCACGGTGAACCCCACGGTAAACCCACCATGGTGAACCCCACGGTAAACCCCCCACGGTGAACCCCATGGTAAACCCACCACGGTGAACCCCATGGTAAACCCACCACGGTGAACCCCACGGTAAACCCACCACGGTGAACCCCATGGTAAACCCACCACGGTAACCCCCAAGGTAAACCCACCACGGTGAACCCCACGGTAAACCCACCATGGTGAACCCCACGGTAAACCCACCACGGTGAACCCCACGGTAAACCCCCCACGGTGAACCCCATGGTAAACCCACCATGGTGAACCCCCATGGTAAACCCACCACGGTGAACCCCATGGTAAACCCCCCACGGTGAACCCCACGGTAAACCCACCACGGTGAACCCCATGGTAAACCCCCCACGGTGAACCCCACGGTAAACCCCCCACGGTGAACCCCATGGTGAACCCACCACGGTGAACCCCATGGTAAACCCCCCACGGTGAACCCCACGGTAAACCCCCCACGGTGAACCCCATGGTGAACCCACCACGGTGAACCCCACGGTAAACCCACCACGGTGAACCCCATGGTAAACCCACCATGGTGAACCCCACGGTAAACCCACCACGGTGAACCCCATGGTAAACCCCCCACGGTGAACCCCACGGTAAACCCCCCACGGTGAACCCCATGGTGAACCCACCACGGTAACCCCCATGGTAAACCCACCACGGTGAACCCCCATGGTAAACCCACCACGGTGAACCCCATGGTGAACCCACCACGGTGAACCCCATGGTAAACCCCCCCACGGTGAACCCCATGGTAAACCCACCACGGTGAACCCCACGGTAAACCCCCCACGGTGAACCCCACGGTAAACCCACCATGGTGAACCCCACGGTAAACCCACCACGGTGAACCCCACGGTAAACCCACCACGGTGAACCCCACGGTAAACCCACCACGGTGAACCCCACGGTAAACCCACCACGGTGAACCCCATGGTAAACCCACCACGGTGAACCCCACGGTAAACCCACCATGGTAAACCCCATGGTAAACCCACCACGGTGAACCCCACGGTAAACCCACCACGGTGAACCCCCACGGTAAACCCCCCACGGTGAACCCCACGGTAAACCCCCCCACGGTAACCCCCATGGTAAACCCACCACGGTGAACCCCATGGTAAACCCACCACGGTGAACCCCACGGTAAACCCACCACGGTGAACCCCATGGTAAACCCACCACGGTGAACCCCATGGTAAACCCACCACGGTAACCCCCATGGTAAACCCACCACGGTGAACCCCACGGTAAACCCACCACGGTGAACCCCATGGTAAACCCACCACGGTGAACCCCATGATAAACCCACCACGGTGAACCCCATGGTAAACCCACCACGGTGAACCCCACGGTAAACCCACCACGGTGAACCCCATGGTAAACCCACCATGGTGAACCCCATGGTAAACCCACCACGGTGAACCCCCATGGTAAACCCACCACGGTGAACCCCACGGTAAACCCACCATGGTGAACCCCATGGTAAACCCACCACGGTGAACCCCATGGTAAACCCCCCCACGGTGAACCCCACGGTAAACCCATGGTAACCCCCACGGTAACCCCCACGGTTACCACGTGGTTACTGGTAACTACCATGGTAACCCCACGGTAAACTCCACGGTAACCACGTGGTCACTACCACGTGGTAGTAACCACGTAGTAACCACGTGGTAGTAACCACGTGGTAGTAACCACGTGGTAGTAACCACGTGGTTACTACCACGGTAACCACGTGGTCACGTGGTCACTACCACGTGGTTACTACCACGTGGTAGTGACCACGTGGTAGTGACCACGTGGTTACTACCACGGTAACCACGTGGTCACGTGGTCACTACCACGTGGTTACTACCACGTGGTAGTAACCACGTGGTAGTGACCACGTGGTTACCGTGGTTACTACCACGTGGTCACTACCACGTGGTAGTAACCACGGTAACCACGTGGTCACTACCACGTGGTCACTACCACGTGGTCACTCGTGTCCCGTGGTGAGCAGGCGCAAGGCACGTGACAGGTTGTCAACAGCTGTGCCCACGGTGGTGACCACGTGATAGTGACCACGTGGTAGTGACCACGTGATCACTCGTGACCCGTGGTGAGCAGGCGCAAGGCACGTGACAGGTTGTCAACAGCTGTGCCCACGGTGACCACGTGGTCACTACCACGTGGTCACTCGTGTCCCGTGGTGAGCAGGCGCAGGGCACGTGACAGGTTGTCAACAGCTGTGCCCAGGGTAACCACGTGGTAGTGACCACGTGGTAGTGACCACGTGATAGTGACCACGTGGTAGTGACCACGTGGTAGTGACCACGTGGTCACTCGTGTCCCGTGGTGAGCAGGCGCAGGGCACGTGACAGGTTGTCAACAGCTGTGCCCACGGTGGTGACCACGTGGTAGTGACCACGTGGTCACTACCACGTGATCACTCGTGACCCGTGGTGAGCAGGCGCAGGGCACGTGACAGGTTGTCAACAGCTGTGCCCACGTCTTCGTACTGCAGGGCGCTGCCCGCAAACTTACAAAGCTTCTGGGCTCGTGCCAAGTCCTCGGCTGTGAGACGCACGCCTGGGGGTGGGGGGGGGGGTGAGTGGGGGGTGAGTGGGGGGTGAGTGGGGGGTGAGTGGGGGTGGTGAGTGGGGGGTGAGTGAGTGGGTGGGTGGGTGAATGAGTGAGTGGGTGGGTGAGTGAGTGGGTGGGTGGGTTAGTGAGTGAGTGGGTGAGTGGGTGAGTGGGTGGGTGAGTGGGTGGGTGAGTGGGTGGGTGGGGGGTGAGTGGGTGGGTGGGGGGTGAGTGGGGGGGTGAGTGAGTGGGTGGGTTAGTGAGTGAGTGGGTGAGTGAGTGGGTGAGTGAGTGGATGGGTGAGTGGGTGGGTGGGTGAGTGAGTAGGTGGGTGGGTGGGTGAGTGAGTGAGTGGGGGGTGAGTGAGTGAGTGAGTGAGTGGGGGGTGAGTTAGTGGGTGATTGAGTGGGTGAGTGGGTGGGGGGTGAGTGAGTGGGTGGGTGGGGGGTGAGTGAGTGGGTGGGTGGGTGGGGGGGTGAGTGAGTGGGTGGGTGGGTGGGGGGGTGAGTGAGTGAGTGGGTGAGTGGGTGGTTGAGTGAGTGGTTGGGTGAGGGTGGTGAGTGAGTGAGTGGGGGGTGAGTGAGTGGGTGGGTTAGTGAGTGAGTGGGTGAGTGAGTGAGTGGGTGAGTGGGTGAGTGAGTGAGTGAGTGGGTGGGTGAGTGGGTGGGTGGGTGAGTGAGTGGGTGGGGGGTGAGTGAGTGAGTGGGTGGGTGGGTGAGTGGGTGGGTGGGGGGTGGGTGGGTGGGTGGGTGAGTGGGTGGGTGGGGGGTGGGTGGGTGGGTGGGGGGTGGGTGGGTGGGTGGGGGGTGGGTGGGGGGTGGGTGGGTGGGTGGGGGGGTGTGTGGGGGTGGGGGTTTGTGGGTGTGTGTGGGTGTGTGGGGGTGTGCGTGAGTGGGTGGGCTAGTGAGTGAGTGGGTGAGTGAGTGGGTGAGTGAGTGAGTGGGTGGGTGAGTGAGTGGGTGAGTGAGTGGGTGAGTGAGTGGGTGGGTGGGGGGTGGGTGGGTGGGTGGGGGGTGGGTGGGTGGGGGGGTGAGTGGGTGGGTGGGGGGTGAGTGGGGGGGTGAGTGAGTGGGTGGGCTAGTGAGTGAGTGGGTGAGTGAGTGGGTGAGTGAGTGGGTGAGTGAGTGGGTGGGTGAGTGGGTGAGTGGGTGGGTGAGTGGGTGGGTGAGTGGGTGGGTGGGGGGTGAGTGGGTGGGTGGAGGGTGAGTGGGTGGGTGGGTGAGTGAGTGGGTGGGTGGGTTAGTGAGTGAGTGGGTGAGTGGGTGAGTGGGTGGGTGAGTGGGTGGGTGAGTGGGTGGGTGGGGGGTGAGTGGGTGGGTGGGGGGTGAGTGGGGGGGTGAGTGAGTGGGTGGGTTAGTGAGTGAGTGGGTGAGTGAGTGGGTGAGTGAGTGGGTGGGTGAGTGGGTGAGTGAGTAGGTGGGTGGGTGGGTGGGTGAGTGAGTGAGTGGGGGGTGAGTGAGTGAGTGGGGGGTGAGTTAGTGGGTGATTGAGTGGGTGAGTGGGTGGGGGGTGAGTGAGTGGGTGGGTGGGGGGTGAGTGAGTGGGTGGGTGGGTGGGGGGGTGAGTGAGTGGGTGGGTGAGTGGGGGGGTGAGTGAGTGAGTGGGTGAGTGGGTGGTTGAGTGAGTGGTTGGGTGAGGGTGGTGAGTGAGTGAGTGGGGGGTGAGTGAGTGGGTGGGTTAGTGAGTGAGTGGGTGAGTGAGTGAGTGAGTGGGTGAGTGGGTGAGTGAGTGAGTGAGTGGGTGAGTGGGTGGGGGGTGAGTGAGTGAGTGGGTGAGTGAGTGAGTGGGTGGGTGAGTGAGTGGGTGATTGAGTGGGTGAGTGAGTGGGTGGGTGGGGGGTGGGTGGGTGGGTGGGGGGTGGGTGGGTGGGGGGGTGAGTGGGTGGGTGGGGGGTGAGTGGGTGGGTGGGGGGTGAGTGGGGGGGTGAGTGAGTGGGTGGGCTAGTGAGTGAGTGGGTGAGTGAGTGGGTGAGTGAGTGGGTGAGTGAGTGGGTGGGTGAGTGGGTGAGTGGGTGAGTGAGTGAGTGAGTGGGGGGTGAGTTAGTGGGTGATTGAGTGGGTGAGTGGGTGAGTGGGTGAGTGAGTGGGTGGGGGGTGAGTGAGTGGGTGGGTGGGTGGGGGGGGTGAGTGAGTGGGTGAGTGAGTGGGTGGGTGGGTGAGTGAGTGAGTGGGTGGGTGAGTGGGAGGGTGGGTGGTGATGGTGGTGGTGTTGGTGGTGATGGTGGTGGTGGCTGTGGTAGTGATTGTAGTGGTAGTGGTTGTAGTGGTAGTGGTTGTAGTGGTGGTGGCTGTGGTAGTGGTTGTGGTGGTTGTGATAATGGTGGTTGTTGTAGTGGTTGAAGTGGTGGATGTGGTGGTTGTGGTGGTTGTTGCGAGTGGTGGTGGTTGTAGTGGTAGTGGTGGTTGTGGTGGTTGTGGTGGTGGTAGTGGTGGTAGTGGTGGTGGTTGTGGTGGTGGTGGTGGTGGTAGTGGTGGTGGTGGTAGTGGTGGTGGTAGATGTGGTGGTGGTAGTTGTGGTGGTGGTAGTTGTGGTGGTGGTAGTTGTGGTGGTGGTTGTGGTGGTTGTGGTAGTTGTGGTGGTGGTAGTTGTGGTGGTGGTTGTGGTGGTGGTTGTGGTGGTGGTTGTGGTGGTAGTTGTGGTAGTTGTTGTGGTAGTTGTGGTGGTGGTAGTGGTGGTAGTTGTGGTGGTGGTAGTTGTGGTGGTGGTAGTTGTGGTGGTGGTAGTTGTGGTGGTGGTAGTTGTGGTGGTGGTTGTGGTGGTGGTTGTGGTGGTTGTAGTGGTGGTAGTTGTTGTGGTAGTTGTGGTGGTGGTAGTGGTGGTAGTTGTGGTGGTGGTAGTTGTGGTGGTGGTTGTGGTGGTGGTTGTGGTAGTTGTGGTGGTGGTAGTTGTGGTGGTGGTAGTTGTTGTGGTGGTAGTTGTGGTAGCTGTGGTGGTGGTGGTTGTGGTGGTTGTAGTTGTGGTGGTGGTAGTTGTGGTGGTAGTTGTGGTGGTGGTAGTTGTGGTGGTGGTAGTTGTGGTAGTTGTGGTGGTAGTTGTGGTGGTAGTTGTGGTGGTGGTAGTTGTGGTGGTGGTAGTTGTGGTGGTGGTTGTGGTGGTAGTTGTGGTGGTTGTGGTGGTGGTTGTAGTGGTGAATGTGGTGGTGGTAGTTGTGGTGGTGGTAGTTGTGGTGGTGGTTGTGGTGGTGGTAGTTGTGGTGGTGGTTGTGGTGGTGGTTGTGGTGGTGGTAGTTGTGGTGGTGGTTGTGGTGGTTGTGCTGGTTGTGGTGGTTGTGGTAGTTGTGGTGGTTGTGGTGGTTGTGGTGGTAGTTGTGGTAGTTGTGGTGGTTGTGGTAGTTGTGGTAGTTGTGGTGGTAGTGGTGGTAGTTGTGGTGGTTGTGCTGGTTGTGGTAGTTGTGGTGGTTGTTGTAGTGGTTGTGGTAGTTGTGGTAGTTGTGGTGGTTGTGGTAGTTGTGGTGGTTGTGGTAGTTGTGGTGGTTGTGGTAGTTGTGGTGGTTGAGGCTTCACCTGTCTGACTTTGTCTTGAGTCAGCGCTGGCATCCGATGCTTGTGGGCCTGACGGCACAAACCAGGAAGTGACGTCACAAACCACGAAGTGACGTCGCAAACCAGGAAGTGACGCCACAAAGCACGTTACAAATCACATCACAAACCACGTCACAAATCAGGAAGTGACGTCACAAACCACGAAGTGACATCACACAGAGATACACAGAGACACATAGAGATACACAGATACACATAGAGATACACAGAGACACATAGAGATACACAGAGACCCATAGAGATACACAGAGACACATAGAGAGACACAGAGACACATAGAGATACATAGAAACCCAAAGAGACACAGAGACACATAGAGATACACAGAGACCCATAGAGACACACAGAGACCCATAGAGATACACAGAGACACAGAGATACACAGAGACACATAGAGACACATAGAGACCCATAGACACACACAGAGACCCATAGAGATACACAGAGACACATAGACACACACAGAGACCCACAGAGACCCATAGAGACCCATAGAGACCCATAGAGATACACAGAGACCCAGAGACCCATAGAGAGAGACACATAGAGACCCATAGAGACCCATAGAGACACACAGAGACCCATAGAGACCCATAGAGAGAGAGAGACACATAGAGACCCATAGAGATACACAGAGACGAATAGAGACACACAGAGACCCATAGAGACACACAGAGACACACAGAGACCCATAGAGACACACAGACACACACAGAGACCCATAGAGAGAGGGAGACAAAGAAAGACTAAACACATCACCAGGTGTAAGCCGCCAGTGAGCTGCTAGCAGCAGCCCAATGATCACAATCACAGCAGCTCAACATCAACGACATCAACAACAACATCAACATCTTCACCATCATCAACATCATCAACATCAACAAAATCATCAACATGAACATGAACAACATCAACATCATCATCAACATCATCAACATCATCACCGTCACCATCATCAACATCATCATCAACACCATCAACATCATCAACAACACCAACAACATCATCATCATCAACATCATCAACATCAACAACATCAACAAAATCAACAAAATCATCAACATGAACAACATCAACATCATCATCATACAACAACATCATCAACGTCAACAATATCAACATTATCAACATCAACAACATCATCAACATCATCAATAACATCAACATCATCACCGTCACCATCACGTGGATATTCAGAGTACCAGCCAGAAACTCTCTCAGACGCATTGAGGCGTCCATTCTCAACGTGGAGGGAGCACTCGGAGAGAGAGACTCAGAATCAGGGGTCGGGATCGAACCCACGATCTCCTGTACACCAGGCGAGGTAGTCAACATCTCATAGCCACCGTGATGATGATGGTGGTGGTGGTGGCACCCACGACCTCCTGTAGACCAGGCGAGGTAGTCAACATCTCATAGCCACCGTGATGATGGTGGTGGTGGAACCCACGACCTCCTGTACACCAGGCGAGGTAGTCAACATCTCCTAGCCACCGTGATGATGGTGGTGGTGGTGGAACCCACGACCTCCTGTACACCAGGCGAGGTAGTCAACATCTCCTAGCCACCGTGATGATGGTGGTGGTGGTGGAACCCACGACCTCCTGTATACCAGGCGAGGTAGTCAACATCTCATAGCCACCGTGATGATGGTGGTGGTGGTGGTAGAACCCACGACCTCCTGTACACCAGGTGAGGTAGTCAACATCTCCTAGCCACCGTGATGATGGTGGTGGTGGTGGAACCCACGACCTCCTGTACACCAGGCGAGGTAGTCAACATCTCCACAGAGAGAGAGTGTTACCATAGGGAGTGTTTGCTATGGTGAGCGTTACCGTGGTGAGTGTTTACCATGGTGAGCGTTACCGTGGTGAGCGTTACCGTGGGGAGTGTTACCATGGTGAGTGTTTACCATGGTGAGCGTTACCGTGGGGAGTGTTACCATGGTGAGTGTTTACCATGGTGAGTGTTACCATGGTGAGTGTTTACCATGGTGAGTGTTACCATGGTGAGTGTTTACCATGGTGAGTGTTTACCATGGTGAGTGTTTACCGTGGTGAGTGTTTACCATGGTGAGTGTTACCATGGTGAGTGTTTACCGTGGTGAGTGTTTACTGTGGTGAGTGTTACCGTGGTGAGCGTTACCGTGGGGAGTGTTACCATGGTGAGTGTTACCATGGTGAGTGTTTACCATGGTGAGTGTTACCATGGTGAGCGTTACCGTGGGGAGTGTTTGCCGGGGTGTTTGCTGGTGCCTGAGTTCCTGGCCCCGGTGCCCGGCCGCCCGTCGGTCCGGGCAGCCCCCCCCCGGCCCCCCCACCGGCCCCCCCACCGGCCCCCCCCCCCGGCCCCCCCCCCGCCCGCCGGGGCCCCTCCCCTCCATCCGTAGTCGCAGTGGGCGGAGCCTCCCACAGCGGACGAAGATGGCGGCGGCAGCGGCAGCGACGTTCCCGGCGACGTTCCCGAGGCTCCGAGGCCTGCCCCCCCCTCGTCCTCCCCCTCCTCCTCCTCATCCTCGTCGTCACCGCCTGGAACGAGAGGGGGTGGGAGGGATTAATAGGCGCTCGCTAACTACTGAGTGTGTGTCTGTGTGTGTGTGTGTGTGGCTCTGTGTGTAGGTGTGTAGGTGTGTGTAGGTGAGTGTGTAGGTGTGTGTGTGGCTCTGTGTGTGTGTATGTGTAGGTGTGTGTGTGTTAGTGTGTGTGTGTAGGTGTGTGTGTGTGAGAGTGTGTGTGTGTGTGTAGGCAAAACAACCCCCTACCTCCTCGCGGTGCCGGACGGGCAACTCTGTCGTGGACAATGCTGTGGGGGGAGGTCCAATTTTTGATTGGCTCCTCCCCTCATGGTATATGTGTCAACCACAGGGGCTAAACGGGGGCTCTGGACGGGTGCGATGGGCTGATAACGTCTCCTGGCCAAACCCTAATTGGCGGAGCCAGGAGATTGAATATCTACCCTCGGGGCTCCTCCAGAAACAACGAAAAGCCACTTCGTGTGGCCACGTGGAATGTTCGAATGCTCACTGCGGAGGAGAGGCTGCCACTCCTCTGTCGGGAGCGGGACCGGTACCGCCTGGATCTCTGTGGCATTCAGGAGGTCCGGTGGACCGGCTCTGGCTCCTGCCACCATGAGGGGTGGACAGTCCTCTACTTGGGGCAGCAGACTGCCAAACAACAGGGTGTGGCTCTTCTTTTGAACAAAAAAATGAAGGGGGCGTGGGAGCGTGGCGGTGAGGTGTGTGAAGCTGTAAGTCCCAGGCTACTTTGGGCTCGCCTTCCCATCAACCGGAGGCGAGGAATGGTGGTCGTGGTTACTTATGCCCCCACCGAAGATGAACATCCGTGGAAGGATGCAGGCAAATGCAGGCAAAGCCGATGAGTCAGATGCCTTCTATGACCTCCTGTCACAGGTGCTGGCTAAAGTGGCCCCTCGGGATAGAGTCATCATGTTGGGTGACTTCAATGCCCGAGTTGGTGATGATACTGGTACCTGGTCTGGAGTGATTGTAGGGCATGGGCCAGATCAGCTCAATAACAACGGCAGGAGGCTGCTAGATTTATGTGCAGCCCATGGGATTGTAATTACCAACACGCTGTTCCAGCATCGGCGCATCCACACAACATCATGGATGCATGCCGGGTCCAAGCAAGAACATCTGCTGGACTACATAGTGACGGACCAGCGGATGCGAGCCCATGTCCTTGACACCAGGACCTACCGTGGAGCTGATCTGCCCTCTGACCATCGACTAGTCATCTGTAAGATGCGCCTGCCATTCTTCCACTCCGGTGGTGGGTGTACACCCAGGACCCCATTTCAACCTAAAGTGGCCTGGTCTCAGTTATCTGATGAAAGTTGCAAGCGAGAATTTCATCATCGCTTGCGGCTGGGATTGGCATCGTCCCCGACTCCTCCTGATGTCGAGGGTAAATGGGCAAGGTTTAGGACTGTGACTCATGCAGCTGCAATGGCTGCTTTGGGTACGCGGTCCAGACCTCTCCAGAGACCCTGGCTGACAGAGGAGTTGTTCAGGATGGTTGAGAAAAAGCGACAGGCCCACTGTCATCGGCTACAGAATCCCACGTCAGAGAATGAGGAGGCTTACTGCAACCTTCGCTCGGAGGTTCGGAGAGCCGTGAGGCGCTGCAAGGATGGTGGGTGGTGGTCGCGGGTTGCTGAGGAGATGGAGTCTGCCTCAGTGGCCCATGATCACAAATCTCTATTTAGCTCCATCAAAAAAGTAACCTGCAGCGCCACACCTATTACCATCATTAGGGGAAAAAACAGTGATCCAATCTCCGACCCCCAGGAACAGGTTTGCAGATTTTCTGAGCATTTCTGTGAGGTCTTGGGGGAGGGAAAATCCCTCAGCCAGGAAAACATCGTGGCACAAAGTGAGGATGACCCTGCTGAGGCTGCGGTGCCTCAAATATTGGAAGAAGTCGCCCCCTATGAGTGGCTGGCTGAAGTGCCTGTTGAGGAAATACTGAGGGCGATCCGGAGTCTGAGACCAGGAAAGGCAGCGAGCAGAGATGATCTCCCAAGCGAAATGCTGAGGGAGGGTGGAGTTTGTGCACAGACTGCCCTATATGACATCATAACAACAGTCTGGACCACTAGACGGGTTCCGCAGGATTGGAAGGATGCCCTGGTGGTCCCCCTCTTTAAGAAGGGGGACCGCACAGACTGTAACAACAACAGGGGCCATATTTTCTGTCCGTCTGCTACAGCAGAGGTGTAAGGAATTCCAGCAAGACCTACATCTCTGCTTTATTGACCTGGTCAAGGCCTATGATACCATCAATAGGCCTGGGCCCTGGGTTGTTCTTCGTGCTTTTGGAGTACCTGACCCTCTGCTCACGATCATTAAAGACCTTCATGATGGTGAGCGGGCCCGGGTAAAACTACGTGGCGGGGAGTCCGAGCCTTTCCCTGTACACCTTGGGGTGCGACAGGGATGTCCTCTGGCTCCCACATTATTTAACATCTATTTCGACCACGTAGTTCGTGAAGCCTTCAATAGCTGTACTGGGGGAATCTCCATATGGTACAGATATAATGGGAGGCTGATCGATGCCCGGGTGCGGTCAAGGGATGGCTCCCTATTGTTCAACCACGTTATGTATGCTGATGATTTGGTAAAAGCTGCTCATTCAGAGGAGGAGTTGGAGATGCTGCTGCTGAGACTGGAGCGTGCTACTAAGAGATGGGGCCTTACCATCAGCCCCACCAAAACTAAGCACCTGCCTGGGTATTTTGTACCATCGGACACTCCACCCCCACAACTCCCAATCGATGATGGGGCAGTCGTGGAGAGAGTGGAGAGTTTCCCATACCTGGGCAGTGTGCTTATGACCGGCTCCAGGTTTAACAGCAGAGGTCTCACTCCGAATCAGTCGAGCGGCAATATCTTTTCATCGGTTGCGTAATGCTATGTGGAAGCTACCTGGTCTGTCGCTCCGCACTAAGCTTCAGGTCTTCCCGGCCACGGTCATTCCCTCCCTTCTCTACGCTTGCGAAACGTGGACCCCCCTAATGGAACATCTTCGTCGGTTCGACACATTTAGGCTGGCCTGCCTACGATCCATCCTGGGTTTAACCAGGCTGGATTGTGTGAGGAGCTCACAAATCCTTGAAAGATCTGGGCAAGGTCCCATCGGTGAGCTCCTCCGGCGGGGAAGGCTGCGATGGCTGGGTCATGTAGCCCGCATGCCCAGCCACCGCATGCCGAAACAGCTTTTGTTCGGCCGGATCGAGGGGGCTAAACGGGCGCGGCACGGGCTAGAGAAGAGATGGAGTGATGTGGTACAGGAGGACGTGGAGCTGAGTGGACTTGCCGATGACCGGTACCAGCGGCGTCAAGATCGGCCTCTGTGGAGGAGGCTCGTGAAGGACGCTACTGGGCAGTTGGAGGTAGTCGCCCTCCAACAACAACGGAGGGCGGAGGAGCGACACTCACAACAACGAGCGGAGCGCCGGGTGGATAAAGCACAGCAAGCGAGTAAGCGAGGAAGTCAGCGAGTGAGTGAGCGAGTGAATCAGTGAGTATGTGAGTGAGTCAGTGAGCGAGCGAGTGAGTGAACGAGTGAGTGAGTGAGCGAGTGAGTGAGTCAGCGTATGAGTGAGCGAGTCAGAGAGTCAGTGAGTGAGCGAGTGAGTGAACGAGTGAGTGAGTCAGTGAGTGAGTCAGTGAGGGAGTGAGTCAGTGAGCGAGTGAGTGAGTCAGCGTATGAGTGAGCGAGTGAATCAGTGAGTGAGTGAGTCAGTGAGTGAGTGAGTAAGTGAGTGAGTGAGTCAGCGTGAGTGAGCGAGTCAGTGAGTCAGTGAGCGAGCGAGCGAGTGAGTGAACGAGTGAGTGAGTCAGTGAGTGAGTCAGTGAGTGAGTCAGTGAGTGAGTCAGTGAGTATGTGAGTGAGTGAGTCAGTGAGTGAGTGAGTCAGTGAGTGAGTGAGTCAACGTATGAGTGAGCGAGTCAGAGAGTCAGTGAGCGAGCGAGTGAGTGAACGAGTGAGTGAGTCAGTGAGTCAGTGAGCGAGTGAGTGAGTCAGCGTATGAGTGAGCGAGTCAGTAATTCAGTGAGCCAGCGAATGAGTGAGTCAGTGAGTGAGTGAGTAAGTGAGTAAGTGAGTCAGTGAGTCAGTGAGTGAGCGAGCGAGTGAGTCAGTGAGTGAGTCAGTGAGTGAGTCAGTGAGTGAGCGAGTGAGTGAATGAGAGAGCGAGTGAGTGAGTCAGTGAGTGAGCGAGCGAGTGAGTCAGTGAGTCAGTGAGTGAGTCATTGAGTGAGTCAGTGAGTGAATCAGTGAGTGAGTGAATGAGTCAGTGAGTGAGTGAGCGAGTGAGTGAGCGAGTGAGTCAGTGAGTCAGTGAGCAAGCGAGTGAGTCAGTGAGTGAGCGAGTGAGTGAGTGAGCGAGTGAGTCAGTGAGTGAGTCAGTGAGTGAGTGAGCGAGTCAGTGAGCGAGCGAGTAAGTGAGTGAGTCAGTGAGTGAGCGAGTGAGTGAGCGAGTGAGTCAGTGAGTGAGTCAGTGAGTGAGTGAGCGAGTGAGTGAGCGAGTGAGTCAATGAGTGAGTCGGTGAGTGAGTCAGTGAGTGAGTGAGTCAGTGAGTGAGTGAGTCAACGTATGAGTGAGCGAGTCAGAGAGTCAGTGAGCGAGCGAGTGAGTGAACGAGTGAGTGAGTCAGTGAGTCAGTGAGCGAGTGAGTGAGTCAGCGTATGAGTGAGCGAGTCAGTAATTCAGTGAGCCAGCGAATGAGTGAGTCAGTGAGTGAGTGAGTAAGTGAGTAAGTGAGTCAGTGAGTCAGTGAGTGAGCGAGCGAGTGAGTCAGTGAGTGAGTCAGTGAGTGAGTCAGTGAGTGAGCGAGTGAGTGAATGAGCGAGCGAGTGAGTGAGTCAGTGAGTGAGCGAGCGAGTGAGTCAGTGAGTCAGTGAGTGAGTCATTGAGTGAGTCAGTGAGTGAATCAGTGAGTGAGTGAATGAGTCAGTGAGTGAGTGAGCGAGTGAGTGAGCGAGTGAGTCAGTGAGTCAGTGAGCAAGCGAGTGAGTCAGTGAGTGAGCGAGTGAGTGAGTGAGCGAGTGAGTCAGTGAGTGAGTCATTGAGTGAGTCAGTGAGTGAATCAGTGAGTGAGTGAATGAGTCAGTGAGTGAGTGAGCGAGTGAGTGAGCGAGTGAGTCAGTGAGTCAGTGAGCAAGCGAGTGAGTCAGTGAGTGAGCGAGTGAGTGAGTGAGTGAGCGAGTCAGTGAGCGAGCGAGTAAGTGAGTGAGTCAGTGAGTGAGCGAGTGAGTGAGCGAGTGAGTCAGTGAGTGAGTCAGTGAGTGAGTGAGCGAGTGAGTGAGCGAGTGAGTCAATGAGTGAGTCAGTGAGTGATTCAGTGAGTGAGTGAGTGAGTCAGTGAGTGAGTGAGTCAGTCAGTGAGTGAGTGAGTGAGTCAGTGAGTCAGTCAGTGAGTGAGTGAGTCAGTGAGTGAGTGAGTGAGTCAGTGAGTGAGTGAGTCAGTGAGTCAGTCAGTGAGTGAGTGAGTCAGTGAGTCAGTGAGTGAGTGAGTGAGTCAGTGAGTGAGTCAGAGAGTCAGTGAGTGAGTCAGTGAGTGAGTCAGTGAGTGAGTCAGAGAGTCAGTGAGTGAGTCAGTGAGTGAGTGAGTGAGTCAGTGAGTGAGTCAACGTATGAGTGAGCGAGTCAGAGAGTCAGAGAGTGAGCGTCACACCTGGGAGTGGGCCAGGAGTTGGGGTCTCTCCGTTCTTCAGGCACGTGTGGATGTGAGCAGCCTTCCATCGTGCGTACTTCCTGTGACGCACCACCTGTGATGCAGCGTGACGCACACACACAGTGTGACACACACACACACACACAGTGTGACACACACACACAGCGTGACACACACACACACACACAGTGTGACACACACACACACAGTGTGACACACACACACACAGTGTGACACACACACACAGTGTGACACACACACACAGCGTGACACACACACACACAGTGTGACACACACACAGTGTGAAACACACACACAGTGTGACACACACACACAGTGTGACACACACACACAGCGTGACACACACACAGTGTGACACACAGTGTGACACACACACACAGCGTGACACACACACACACAGTGTGACACACACACACACAGTGTGACACACACACACAGCGTGACACACACACACAGTGTGACACACACACAGTGTGACACACACACACACACAGCGTGACACACACACACACAGCGTGACACACACACAGTGTGACACACACACACAGTGTGACACACACACACAGTGTGACACACACAGAGTGTGACACACACACACACACAGTGTGACACACACACACACACACAGTGTGACACACACACACACACACAGTGTGACACACACACACACAGTGTGACACACACACAGTGTGACTCACACACAGCGTGACACACACACACACACAGTGTGACACACACACACACAGTGTGACACACACACACACAGCGTGACACACACACACAGCGTGACACACACACAGCGTGACACACACACAGCGTGACACACACACACAGCGTGACACACACACACAATGTGACACACACACACAGTGTGACACACACACACAGTGTGACACACACACACAGTGTGACACACACACACAATGTGACACACACACACAGTGTGACACACACACACAGTGTGACACACACACACACAATGTGACACACACACACAGTGTGACACACACACACAGTGTGACACACACACACAGCGTGACACACACACAGCGTGACACACACACAGTGTGACACACACACACAATGTGACACACACACAGCGTGACACACACACACACAGTGTGACACACACACACAGTGTGACACACACACACAGTGTGACACACACACACACAATGTGACACACACACACAGTGTGACACACACACACAGTGTGACACACACACACAGCGTGACACACACACAGCGTGACACACACACAGTGTGACACACACACACACAATGTGACACACACACAGCGTGACACACACACACACAGTGTGACACACACACACACAATGTGACACACACAGTGTGACACACACACACAATGTGACACACACACAGTGTGACACACACACACACACAATGTGACACACACACACAGTGTGACACACACACACACAGTGTGACACACACACAGTGTGACACACACACAGCGTGACACACACACAGCGTGACACACACACACACAATGTGACACACACACACAGTGTGACACACACACACACACACAGTGTGACACACACACACACACAGCGTGACACACACACACACAATGTGACACACACACACAGTGTGACACACACACACAGTGTGACACACACACACAGCGTGACACACACACAGCGTGACACACACACAGTGTGACACACACACACACACAATGTGACACACACACACAGCGTGACACACACACACACAGTGTGACACACACACACACAATGTGACACACACACAGTGTGACACACACACACAGTGTGACACACACACACAGTGTGACACACACACAATGTGACACACACACAGCGTGACACACACACACACAATGTGACACACACACACAGTGTGACACACACACAGTGTGACACACACACACAGCATGACACACACAGCGTTACACACACACAGTGTGACACACACACACACAATGTGACACACACACACAGCGTGACACACACACACACAGTGTGACACACACACACAATGTGACACACACACACAGTGTGACACACACACACAGTGTGACACACACACACAGTGTGACACACACACAATGTGACACACACACAGTGTGACACACACACACACAATGTGACACACACACACAGTGTGACACACACACACACAGTGTGACACACACACAGTGTGACACACACACAGCGTGACACACACACAGCGTGACACACACACACAGCGTGACACACACACACAGCGTGACACACACACACACAATGTGACACACACACACAGCGTGACACACACACACACAATGTGACACACACACACACAGTGTGACACACACACACAATGTGACACACACACACAGTGTGACACACACACACAGTGTGACACACACACAATGTGACACACACACAATGTGACACACACACAGTGTGACACACACACACAATGTGACACACACACAGTGTGACACACACACACACAGTGTGACACACACACAGCGTGACACACACACAGCGTGACACACACACAGCGTGACACACACACAGTGTGACACACACACACACAGTGTGACACACACACACAGCGTGACACACACACAGTGTGACACACACACAGTGTGACACACACACACACAGTGTGACACACACAGCGTGACACACACACACAGTGTGACACACACACACAGTGTGACACACACACACACAGTGTGACACACACACACAGCGTGACACACACACAGTGTGACACACACACAGTGTGACACACACACACACAGTGTGACACACACAGCGTGACACACACACACAGTGTGACACACACACACAGTGTGACACACATACACACACAGTGTGACACACACACACAGTGTGACACACATACACACACAGTGTGACACACACACACAGTGTGACACACATACACACACAGTGTGACACACACACACAGTGTGACACACATACACACACAGCGTGACACATACACACAGCGTGACACACACACAGTGTGACACACACACACAGCGTGACACACACACAGCGTGACACACACACAGCGTGACACACACACATACAGTGTGACACACACACAGTGTGACACACACACAGCGTGACACACACACAGTGTGACACACACACACAGTGTGACACAAAGATAAAGATCCCCCATATAGCCTTAACAGACTGTAGGGGCAAGTGCTGTTAGCGAGCACCTATGAAGGCCGGAACGGTACACGAGGGGGTGGGTGGCCAGCACCACGCCCGACCGCCTTTGTCTCCCCAGTGGCAATGTTTACACACCGCACCAGGTACTCATTTGAGGCTGAGTCGACCTAGGGGAAGCCCGGGACCGGTTCAGAAAATCGTCACTGGTGTTGGCCGTGAGAGGGAATCAAACCCGGGTCGCCAGGTTCATAGCGCAGCGCGCTAACCGCTACACTATCGCTCTCCACAACAGTGTAACACACACACAGTGTGACACACAGCGTGACACACACAGAGTGTGACAGACAGCGTGACACACACAGAGTGTGACACACAGTGTGACACACACAGTGTGACACACACACACCTACACACACACACACAGACATACACAACAACAACAACAACCGCCATTCGCCACTAAGTGGCGGTGACGTCACCACGACGCTTGTGCCAGGCTATGTGCACCCTGAGGCCACGTGAAGTGTCGAACGCCCGCTGGCAGGAGGTCACGGGGCAGACCCAGGTGCCACGGGTCGACTGACTGAGATGACTGGCTGATGCACCACCTGTGCCCCCCTACTGCGCCAACCTGCTGAGCTTTAGCCACCCGGCGCTCCGCTCGTTGTTGTGAGCGTCGCTCCTCCGCCCTCCGTTGTTGCTGGAGGGCGACTGCCTCCAACTGCCCACTAGCGTCCTTCACGAGCCTCCTCCACAGAGACCGATCTTGACACCGCTGGTACCGGTTATCGGCAAGTCCACTCAGCTCCACGTCCTCCTGTACCACATCACTCCATCTCTTCTCTAGCCCGTGTGTGTGTGTGTGTCACACACATTGTGACACACACACACACAGTGTGACACACTGTGGACCCCCTTAATAGAACATCTTCGCCGGTTGGAAACATTTAGGCTGGCCTGCCTACAATCCATCCTGGGTTTAACCAGGCTGGATTGTGTGAGGAGCTCACAAATCCTTGAAAGATCTAGGCAAGGTCCCATCGGTGAGCTCCTCCGGCAGGCAAGGCTGCGATGGCTGGGTCATGTAGCCCGCATGCCCAGCCACCGCATGCCGAAACAGCTTTTGTTCGGCCGGATCGAGGGGGCTAAACGGGCGCGGCACGGGCTAGAGAAGAGATGGAGTGATGTGGTACAGGAGGACGTGGAGCGGAGTGGACTTGCCGATGACTGGTACCAGCGGTGTCAAGATCGGCCTCTGTGGAGGAGGCTCGTGAAGGACGCTACTGGGCAGTTGGAGGCAGTCGCCCTACAACAACAACGGAGGGCGGAGGAGCGAAGCTCACAACAACGAGCGGAGCGCCGGGTGGCACAGCAGGTTGGCACAGTAGGGGGCACAGGTGGTGCATCAGCCAGTCATCTCAGTCAGTCGACCCGTGGCACCTGGGTCTGCCCCGTGACCGCCTGCCAGCGGGCGTTCGACACTTCACGTGGCCTCAAGGTGCAGATGGCCTGGCACAAGCGTCGTGGTGACGTCACCGCCACTTAGTGGCGAATGGCGGTTGTTGTTGTTGTGTCACAATGTGTGTGTGTGTCACTGTGTGTGTGTGTGTCTGTGTGTGTGTCACTGTGTGTGTGTGTGTCACTGTGTGTGTGTGTCTGTGTGTGTGTCACTGTTTGTGTGTGTGTCACTGTGTGTGTCACTGTGTGTTTGTCTGTCTGTGTGCGTCACCTCATCGGTGAGTTCCCCGAAGACGGTGAGGACGTCGAAGAGGAGGCTCGCCGTGTAGAACGACTTCACCACGTTCCTGCGGCAGAGCAAACACTCGCTCAACACCCAGCTACCCAGCTAGCTACTCGCACCCCCACCCACTCACCCAGCTACCCAGCTACCCACTCACACCACCACCCACTCAGCTACCCACTTACACCACCACCCACTCACCCAGCTACCCAGCTAGATACTCACACTACCACTCACTCACCCAGCTACCCAGCTACCCACTCACACCACCACCCACACACTCACCCAGCTACCCAGCTAGCTACTCACACCACCACTCACTCATTCAGCTACCCAGCTAGCTGCTCACACCCCTACCCACTCACCCAGCTACCCAGCTAGCTACTCACACCACCACTCACTCACCCAGCTACCCAGCTAGCTACTCACACCTCCACTCCCTCACCCAGCTACCCACTCACACCACCACCCACACCACCACTCACTCACTCACCCAGCTAGCTACTCACACCACCACTCACTCACCCAGCTACCCAGCTAGCTACTCACACCACCACTCACTCACCCAGCTACCCAGCTACCCACTCACACCACCACCCACCCAGCTACCCACTTACACCACCACCCACTCACCCAGCTACCCAGCTAGCTACTCACACCACCACTCACTCACTCAGCTACCCAGCTAGCTACTCACACCACCACTCACTCAGCTACCCAGATACCCACTCACACCACCACCCACCCAGCTAGCTACTCACACCACCACTCACTCAGCTACCCAGCTAGCTACTCACACCACCACCCACTCACCCAGCTACCCAGCTAGCTACTCACACCACCACTCACTCACCCAGCTACCCAGCTACCCACTCACACCACCACCCACACACTCACCCAGCTACCCAGCTAGCTACTCACACCACCACTCACTCACTCACCCAGCTACCCAGCTAGCTACTCACACCACCACTCACTCACCCAGCTACCCAGCTACCCACTCACACCCCCACCCACTCACCCATGCACCCAGCTACCCACTCACACCCCCACCCACTCACCCATGTACCCAGCTACCCACTCACACCACCACTCACTCACTCACCCAGCTACCCACTCACACCACCACTCACTCACTCACCCATGCACCCAGCTATAGGATTAGTCTATAGTATTATTAGTGAGTCTATAGTATTAGTGAGTCTATAGGATAAGTAGTGAGTCTATAGTATTAGTGAGTCTATAGGATAAGTAGTGAGTCTAGAGGAGTGTTAGTGTGTCAATAGTATTAGTGAGTCTATAGGATTAGTGAGTCTATAGTAGCATTAGTGAGTCTATTGGATTAGTGAGTCTATAGTAGTATTAGTGAGTCTATAGGATTAGTGAGTCTATAGTAGTATTAGTGAGTCTATAGGATTAGTGAGTCTATAGTATTAGTGAGTCTATAGTAGTATTAGTGAGTCTATAGGATTAGTGAGTCTATAGTAGTATTAGTGAGTCTATAGGATTAGTGAGTCCATAGTAGTATTAGTGAGTCTATAGTATTAGTGAGTCTATAGGATTAGTGAGTCTATAGTATTATTAGTGAGTTTATAGTATTAGTAGTGAGTCAATAGTAGTATTAGTGAGTCTATAGTATTATTAGTGAGTCTATAGGATTAGTGAGTATATAGGGTTAATGAGCCTATAGGATTAGTGAGTCTATAGGATTAGTGAGTCTATAGTATTAGTGAGTCTATAGTATTAGTGAGTCTATAGTATTATTAGTGATTCTATAGGATTAGTGAGTCTATAGTATAATTAGTGAGTATATAGGATTAGTGAGTCTATAGTAGTATTAGTGAGTCTATAGTAGTATTAGTGAGTCTATAGTAGTATTAGTGGGTCTATAGTATTATTAGTGAGTCTATAGTATTAGTAGTGAGTCAATAGTAGTATTAGTGAGTCTATAGTATTATTAGTGAGTCCATAGGATTAGTGAGTCTATAGTATTAGTGAGTCTATAGGGTTAGTGAGTCTATAGTATTAGTGAGTCTATAGGATTAGTGAGTATATAGTAGTATTAGTGAGTCTATAGGATTAGTGAGTCTATAGTAGTATTAGTGAGTCTATAGGATTAGTGAGTCTATAGTAGTATTAGTGAGTCTATAGGATTAGTGAGTCCATAGTAGTATTAGTGAGTCTATAGTATTAGTGAGTCTATAGGATTAGTGAGTCTATAGTATTATTAGTGAGTTTATAGTATTAGTAGTGAGTCAATAGTAGCATTAGTGAGTCTATAGTATTATTAGTGAGTCTATAGGATTAGTGAGTATATAGGGTTAATGAGCCTATAGGATTAGTGAGTCTATAGGATTAGTGAGTCTATAGTATTAGTGAGTCTATAGTATTAGTGAGTCTATAGTATTATTAGTGATTCTACAGGATTAGTGAGTCTATAGTATAATTAGTGAGTATATAGGATTAGTGAGTCTATAGTAGTATTAGTGAGTCTACAGTAGTATTAGTGAGTCTATAGTAGTATTAGTGAGTCTACAGTAGTATTAGTGGGTCTATAGTATTATTAGTGAGTCTATAGTATTAGTAGTGAGTCAATAGTAGTATTAGTGAGACTATAGTATTATTAGTGAGTCTATAGGATTAGTGAGTCTATAGTATTAGTGAGTCTATAGGGTTAGTGAGTCTATAGTATTAGTGAGTCTATAGTAGTATTAGTGAGTCTATAGTAGTATTAGTGAGTCTATAGGATTAGTGAATCTATAGGATTATTAGTGAGTCTATAGTATTAGTGAGTCTATAGTAGTATTAGTGAGTCTATAGTAGTATTAGTGAGTCTATAGGATTAGTGAGTCTATAAGATTAGTGACTCTATAGGATTAGTGAGTCTATAGGATTATTAGTGAGTCTATAGTATTTGTGAGTCTATAGTATTATTAGTGAGTCTACAGTAGTATTAGTGAGTCTATAGTATTATTAGTGCGTCTATAGTATTAGTGAGTCTATAGGATTATTAGTGAGTCTATAGTAGTATTAGTGAGTCTATAGGATAAGTGAGTATATAGGATTAGTGAGTCTATAGTATTAGTGAGTCTATAGGATTAGTGAGTTTATAGTATTATTAGTGAGTCTATAGGATTAGTGAGTCAATAATAGTATTAGTGAGTCTATAGTATTATTAGTGAGTCTATAGGATGAGTCTATAGTAGTATTAGTGAGTCTATAGTATTATTAGTGAGTCTATAGGATTAGTGAGTCTATAGGATTAGTGAGTCTATAGGATTAGTAAGTCTATAGGATTAGTGAGTCTATAGTATTATTAGTGAGTCTATAGGATTAGTGAGTCAATAATAGTATTAGTGAGTCTATATTATTATTAGTGAGTCTATAGGATGAGTCTATAGTAGTATTAGTGAGTCTATAGTATTATTAGTGAGTCTATAGGATTAGTGAGTCTATAGTATTAGTGAGTCTATAGGATTATTAGTGAGTCTATAGTAGTATTAGTGAGTCTATAGGATTAGTGAGTCTATAGGATTAGTAAGTCTATGGGATTAGTGAGTCTATAGTATTATTAGTGAGTCTATAGGATTAGTGAGTCAATAATAGTATTAGTGAGTCAATAATAGCATTAGTGAGTCTATAGTATTATTAGTGAGTCTATAGGATGAGTCTACAGTATTATTAGTGAGTCTATAGGATTAGTGAGTCAATAATAGTATTAGTGAGTCTATATTATTATTAGTGAGTCTATAGGATGAGTCTATAGTAGTATTAGTGAGTCTATAGTAGTATTAGTGAGTCTATAGGATTAGTGAGTCTATAGGATTAGTGAGGCTATAGTATTATTAGTGAGTCTATAGGATTAGTGAGTCAATAATAGTATTAGTGAGTCTATATTATTATTAGTGAGTCCTATAGGATGAGTCTATAGTAGTATTAGTGAGTCTATAGTATTATTAGTGAGTCTATAGGATTAGTGAGTCTATAGTATTAGTGAGTCTATAGGATTATTAGTGAGTCTATAGTAGTATTAGTGAGTCTATAGGATTAGTGAGTCTATAGGATTAGTAAGTCTATGGGATTAGTGAGTCTATAGTATTATTAGTGAGTCTATAGGATTAGTGAGTCAATAATAGTATTAGTGAGTCAATAATAGTATTAGTGAGTCTATAGTATTATTAGTGAGTCTATAGGATGAGTCTACAGTATTATTAGTGAGTCTATATTATTATTAGTGAGTCTATAGGATGAGTCTATAGTAGTATTAGTGAGTCTATAGGATTAGTGAGTCTATAGGATTAGTGAGGCTATAGTATTATTAGTGAGTCTATAGGATTAGTGAGTCAATAATAGTATTAGTGAGTCTATATTATTATTAGTGAGTCTATAGGATGAGTCTATAGTAGTATTAGTGAGTCTATGGTAGTATTAGTGAGTCTATAAGATTAGTGAGTCTATAGGATTAGTGAGTCTATAGTATTATTAGTGAGTCTATAGGATGAGTCTATAGGAGTATTAGGAGTCTATAGTATTATTAGTGGGTCTATAGGATTAGTGAGTTTATAGGATTAGTGAGTCTATAGGATTATTAGTGACTCACTTGTTGAATCTCCCCGCCGGTCTTCGTTGTCGGCGAAGAGGAAAACTCTTGAGAGCGAAATTCTCGACGTGAGCCTGGCCCACGACCTCGCTGGAGATGGACTCACAGGCAGAGAGAGCCTGCTTAGCCTGCTGAGACACAGGGTGAGTGGTGAGGGTGAGTGGGTGGTGAGTGAGTGGGTGGGTGAGTGGGTGGGTGAGTGTGTGAGTGGGTGAGTGGGTGGGTGAGGTGAGTGTGTGAGTGAGTGGTGAGTGAGTGAGTGGGTGAGTGAGTGAGTGCGTGAGTGAGTGAGTGAGTGGTGAGTGGGTGAGTGAGAGGTGAGTGAGTGGTGAGTGAGTGGTGAGTGAGTGGTGAGTGGTGAGTGAGTGGTGAGTGAGTGGTGAGTGAGCCTGGCCCACGACCTCGCTGGAGATGGACTCACAGGCAGAGAGAGCCTGCTTAGCCTGCTGAGACACAGGGTGGGTGGTGAGTGGTGAGTGGGTGAGTGGTGAGTGAGTGGGTGGTGAGTGGTGAGTGAGTGAGTGGTGAGTGTGTGAGTGAGTGAGTGGTGAGTGGGTGGGTGGTGAGTGAGTGGGTGGTGAGTGGTGAGTGGGTGGTGAGTGAGTGGGTGAGTGAGTGGTGAGTGAGTGGGTGGTGAGTGGGTGGTGAGTGAGTGGTGAGTGGTGAGTGAGTGGGTGGTGAGTGGGTGGTGAGTGAGTGGTGAGTGGTGAGTGAGCCTGGCCCACGACCTCGCTGGAGATGGACTCACAGGCAGAGAGAGCCTGCTTAGCCTGCTGAGACACAGGGTGAGTGGTGAGTGAGAGGGTGGGTGGTGAGTGAGTGGGTGGTGAGTGGGTGGTGAGTGGGTGGTGAGTGAGTGGGTGAGTGGTGAGTGAGTGGTGAGTGAGTGGGTGAGTGAGTGTGTGAGTGAGTGAGTGAGTGTGTGAGTGAGTGAGTGAGTGTGTGAGTGAGTGAGTGAGTGGGTGAGTGAGTGAGTGAGTGGGTGAGTGAGTGAGTGGGTGGTGAGTGAGTGGTGAGTGAGCCTGGCCCACGACCTCGCTGGCGATAGACTCACAGGCAGAGAGAGCCTGCTTAGCCTGCTGAGACACAGGGTGGGTGAGTGGTGAGTGGGTGGGTGGTGAGTGAGTGGTGAGTGAGTGGGTGGTGAGTGAGTGGTGTGTGAGTGAGTGAGTGGTGAGTGAGCCTGGCCCACGACCTCGCTGGAGATGGACTCACAGGCAGAGAGAGCCTGCTTAGCCTGCTGAGACACAGGGTGGGTGGTAAGTGGGTGAGTGAGTGGGTGGTGAGTGAGTGGGTGGTGAGTGAGTGGGTGAGTGAGTGAGTGTGTGAGTGAGTGAGTGGGTGTGTGAGTGTGTGAGTGGGTGGTGAGTGAATGGGTGAGTGGGTGGTGAGTGAGTGGTGAGTGGTGAGTGAGCCTGGCCCACGACGTCGCTGGAGATGGACTCACAGGCAGAGAGAGCCTGCTTAGCCTGCTGAGACACAGGGTGGGTGGTGAGTGGGTGGTGAGTGAGTGGGTGGTGAGTGAGTGGTAAGTGAGTGAGTGTGTGAGTGGTGAGTGAGTGAGTGGTGACTGAGTGGGTGGTGAGTGGTGAGTGGGTGGTGAGTGAGTGAGTGGTGAGTGAGTGGTGAGTGAGTGGGTGGTGAGTGTGAGTGGGTGGTGAGTGAGTGAGTGGTGAGTGAGTGGTGAGTGGGTGGTGAGTGGTGAGTGAGTGGTGAGTGAGTGAGTGGTGAGTGAGTGGTGAGTGAGTGGGTGGTGAGTGGTTAGTGGGTGGTGAGTGAGTGGGTGAGTGGTGAGTGAGTGGTGAGTGGGTGGTGAGTGGTGAGTGAGTGGTGAGTGAGTGAGTGGTGAGTGAGTGGTGAGTGAGTGGGTGGTGAGTGGTTAGTGGGTGGTGAGTGAGTGGGTGAGTGGTGAGTGAGTGGTGAGTGGTGAGTGGGTGGTGAGTGGGTGGTGAGTGAGGGGGTGGGTGAGTGGGTGGGTGAGTGAGTTGGTGAGTGAGTGGTGAGTGGTGAGTGAGCCTGGCCCACAATCTCGCTGGAGATGGACTCACAGTCAGAGAGAGCCTGCTTAGCCTGCTGAGACACAGGGTGGGTGGTGAGTGGGTGGGTGGTGAGTCGTGAGTGAGTGGGTGAGTGAGTGAGTGGTGAGTCAGTGAGTGAGTGTGTGACTGAGTGAGTGGTGAGTGAGTGGTGAGTGAGTGGTGAGTGAGTGGTGAGTGAGTGGTGAGTGAGTGAGTGAGTGGGTTAGTGAGTGGTAAGTGAGTGAGTGGGTGAGTGAGTGGGTGAGTGAGTGGGTGAGTGAGTGAGTGAGTGGTGGGTGAGTGGGCGGGTGAGTGTGTGTGTGAGTGTGTGTGTGAGTGAGTGGGTGGTGAGTGAGTGGTGAGTGAGTGGTGAGTGAGCCTGGCCCACAACCTCGCTGGCGATAGACTCACAGGCAGAGAGAGCCTGCTTAGCCTGCTGAGACACAGGGTAAGTGGTGAGTGAGTGGTGAGTGAGTGGATGAGTGAGTGAGTGGGTGAGTGAGTGGTGAGTGAGTGGGTGAGTGAGTGGTGAGTGAGTGGTGAGTGGGTGAGTGGTGAGTGGTGAGTGAGTGGGTGGGTGAGTGAGTGGGTGAGTGAGTGAGTGGTGAGTGAGTGGGTGGTGAGTGAGTGGGTGGTGAGTGAGTGGGTGGGTGAGTGAGTGGTGAGTGAGTGGGTGGGTGAGTGAGTGGTGAGTAAGCCTGGCCCACGACCTCGCTGGCGATAGACTCACAGGCAGAGAGGGCCTGCTTAGCCTGCTGAGACACTGGGTGGGTGGTGAGGGGGTGGGTGAGTGGTGAGTGAGTGGGTGAGTGAGTGAGTGGTGAGTGAGTGGGTGGTGAGTGGGTGGTGTGTGAGTGAGTGGTGAGTGAGTGAGTGGTGAGTGAGTGGGTGAGTGAGTGAGTGGGTGGTGTGAGTGAGTGAGGTGGTGAGTGAGTGAGTGTGAGTGAGTGGGTGAGTGAGTGTGTGAGTGAGTGGTGGTGAGTGAGTGGTGAGTGAGTGGGTGAGTGAGTGGTGAGTGAGTGGTGAGTGAGTGGTGAGTGGTGAGTGAGCCTGGCCCACGACCTCGCTGGAGATGGACTCACAGGCAGAGAGAGCCTGCTTAGCCTGCTGAGACACAGGGTGGGTGAGTGGTGAGTGAGTGGTGAGTGAGTGGTGAGTGAGTGGGTGAGTGGTGAGTGTGTGAGTGGTGAGTGAGTGGTGAGTGAGTGAGTGAGTGGTGAGTGAGCCTGGCCCAGGACCTCGCTGGAGATGGACTCACAGGCAGAGAGAGCCTGCTTAGCCTGCTGAGACACAGGGTGGGTGAGTGAGTGGTGAGTGGGTGAGTGGTGGAGTGAGTGGTGAGTGGTGAGTGAGTGGTGAGTGGGTGAGTGAGTGAGTAAGTGGTGAGTGAGTGGTGAGTGAGTGGTGAGTGGGTGATGTGTGAGTGTGAGTGTGTGAGTGGGTGGTGAGTGAGTGTGTGAGTGAGTGTGTGAGTGAGTGGGTGAGTGAGTGGGTGTGGGAGTGTGTGAGTGAGTGGTGAGTGGTGTGAGTGAGTGAGTGGGTGAGTGAGTGGTGAGTGAGTGGTGAGTGAGTGGTGAGTGAGTGAGTGGGTGAGTGAGTGAGTGGTGAGTGAGTGGTGGGTGAGTGAGTGGTGAGTGAGTGGTGAGTGAGTGGGTGAGTGAGTGAGTGGGTGAGTGAGTGGTGAGTGAGTGAGTGAGTGGTGAGTGAGTGGTGAGTGAGTGGTGAGTGAGTGAGTGGTGAGTGTGTGTGTGTGAGTGAGTGGGTGGTGAGTGGTGAGTGAGTGGTGAGTGAGTGGTGAGTGAGTGGTGAGTGAGTGTGTGTGTGAGTGAGTGAGTGAGTGAGTGAGTGGTGAGTGGTGGGTGAGTGAGTGGGTGGGTGAGTGAGTGGGTGAGTGGGTGAGTGTGTGAGTGAGTGAGTGTGTGAGTGGGTGAGTGAGTGGTGAGTGAGTGGTGAGTGAGTGAGTGGTGAGTTGCCTTCTCAAGTTGATCCATGAGTGACCAGGAGGAATTTTCTGCATTCTGGAGATTTGTTTTCAATTTTCATCCCAACCTGGAACGCGTAGAGACGACCTGTAGGGGTACAGTATGACAGTGGTACAGTGTTACAGTGTGACAGGCGGTACAGTGTGACGGCGGTACAGTGTGAGTGGTACAGTGTGACGGTGGTACAGTGTGACGTGGTACAGTGTGACGGTGGTACAGTGTGACGGTGGTACAGTTTGACAGTGGTACAGTGCGACAGTGGCACAGTGCGACAGTGGTACAGTGTGACAGTGGTAGTGTGCCAGTGGTACAGTGTGACAGTGGTAGTGGTGACCGTGGTACAGTGTGACAGCGGTAGTGTGACAGTGGCACAGTGTGACGTGGTACAGTGTGACAGTGGTACAGCGTGACAGTGGTACAGCGTGACAGTGGTACAGCGTGACAGTGGTACAGTGTGACAGTGGTACAGTGGTACAGTGTGACGTGGCACAGTGTGACAGTGGTACAGTGTGACAGTGGTAGTGACAGTGGTACAGTGTGACAGTGGTACAGTGTGGCAGTGGTACAGTGTGACAGTGGTACAGTGTGACAGTGGTACAGTGTGACAGTGATACAGTGTGACAGTGGCACAGCGTGACAGTGGTACAGTGTGACAGTGGTAGTGTGACAGTGGTACAGTGTGACGTGGTACAGCGGTACAGTGGTACAGTGGTACAGCGTGACAGTGGTACGGTGGTACAGTGTGACAGTGGTACAGTGTGACAGTGGTACAGTGTGACAGTGGTACAGGTGGTACAGTGGGACGGTGGTGCAGTGTGACGGTGGACAGTGTGCCGGTGGTACAGTGTATACCAGTGTGTGTACAGTGCGCGTCGCGACGTACAGTAGAAGGCGACCACGGGGTCCCGCGAGTCGAGTTCCCCTGCAGCGCGGCAGTGATGCAGCACGGCGCGCAGAGCCGCAGGCACGGACATCGCCACAACAACAAACCACAACAACAACAACAACCACAACCACAACAAACACAACCACCACCACAATAACAACCACAATAACAACCACAACAACAACCACAACAACAAACACCACAACTACAAAAACTACCACAACAACCACAACAACTACCACTACAACAACTACCAACCACTACCACAACTACCACTACTACAACAACAACAATCACAACTAATCTACAACCACAACCAGGAACAACAACCAGGAACAACAACAACAACAACCACAACAACTACAACAACTACCACTACAACTACCAACCACTACCACCACTACTACAACAAGCACAACTAAATCTACAACCACAACAACAACAACCAGGAACCACAACAACAACAACTCGCAACCACCACGAACAGCAGCAGCAGCAACACCGCCACAACCAACGCCACTCGCACTTCCGCGTCGCGTCACTTCCGGCACAAGCCCACCCCCGTCATAGCCCCACCCCTCCCCTCCATAGAGACCCATAGAGATACACAGACACACATAGAGACCCATAGAGATACACAGACCTATAAAGACCCATAGAGATACACAGAGACCCATAGAGATACATAGAGATACACAGAGACCCATAGAGATACATAGAGATACACAGAGACCCATAGAGATACACAGAGACACATAGAGACCCATAGACATAAACAGAGACACATGGAGATACACAGAGACCCATAGAGATACACAGACACACATAGAGATACACAGAGACTCATAGAGATGCACAGACACACATAGAGATACACAGAGACCCATAGAGATACACAGAGACCCATAGAAACCCATAGACATACACAGAGACACATAGAGATACACAGAGACCCATAGACATACACAGAGACACATAGAGATACACAGAGACCCATAGAGATACACAGAGACCCATAGAGATACACAGATATCCATAGAGATACACAGAGACACATAGAGACCCATAGACATACACAGAGACACGTAGAGATACACAGAGACCCATAGAGATACATAGAGACCCATAGAGATACATAAAGACACATAGAGACCCATAGAGACACACAGAGACCCATATAGATGCATAGACCCATAGAGATACACAGAGACCCATAGACACACACAGAGACACATAGAGACCCATAGAGACCCATGGAGACAGAGACCAATAGAGATACACAGAGACCCATGAGACCCATAGAGATACACAGAGACCCATAGAGATACACAGAGACACATAGAGACACACAGAGACCCATAGAGAGTACACATAGACCCATAGAGATACATAGAGACCCATAGAGATACACAGAGACCCATAGACACACACCAGTCCCATAGAGATACACAGAGACCCCATAGAGATACACAGAGACCCATAGAGATACAGAGACCCATAGAGATACATAGAGACCCTTAGAGACCCACAGAGACACATGACCATAGACCCATAGAGACAGACAGAGACCCATAGAGATACACAGAGACCCATAGAGACCCATAGAGGATACACAGAGACCCATAGAGACCACAGAGACACACAGACACCCATAGAGACCCATAGAGATACACAGAGACCCATAGAGACCCATAGAGATACACAGAGACCCATAAAGACCCATAGAGATACACAGAGACCCATAGAGACCCATAGAGATACATAGAGACCCATAGAGACACACAGAGACCCATAGAGACCCATAGAGATACACAGAGACCCATAGAGACCCATAGAGACACACAGAGACCCATAGAGATACACAGAGACCCATAGACACACACAGAGACACATAGAGATACACAGAGACCCATAGAGATACACAGAGACCCATATAGATACACACAAACCCATAGAGACCCAGAGAGATACACAGAGACCCATAGAGATACATAGAGACCCATAGAGACACACAGAGACCCATAGAGACCCATAGAGATACACAGAGACCCATAGAGACCCAAAGAGACACACAGAGACCCATAGAGACACAAAGAGACCCATAGAGATACACAGAGACCCATAGACACACACAGAGACCCATAGAGATACACAGAGACCCATAGAGATACACAGAGACCCATAGACACACACAGAGACCCATAGAGATACAGAGATACACAGAGACCCATAGAGATACACAGAGACCCATAGACACACAGAGACCCATAGAGATACACAGAGACCCATAGAGATACACAGAGACCCATAGACACACACAGAGACCCATAGAGATACACAGAGACCCATAGAGATACACAGAGACCCATAGAGATACACAGAGACCCATAGACACACACAGAGACCCATAGAGATACACAGAGACCCATAGAGATACACAGAGACCCATAGACACACACAGAGACCCATAGAGATACACAGAGACCCATAGAGATACACAGAGACCCATAGAGATACACAGAGACCCATAGAGATACACAGAGACCCATAGAGATACACACAAACCCATAGAGATGCACAGAGACACAGAGACACAGAGACACACAGAGACACACAGAGATACAGAGACACACAGAGACACATAGAGACACAGAGATAGAGACACAGAGACACACAGAGACACACAGAGATACAGAGAGACACAGAGATAGAGACACAGAGACAGAGACACACAGAGATAGAGACACAGAGACAGAGACACACAGAGACACAGAGGGGGAAGACCTGGAAAAAAATCCACGCGACAACTCGGGGAGAGACGCAGACTCCAAATACACAGCACGACCTCCTGTACACCAGGCAAGGTAGTCAACATCTCCTAGCCACCGTGATGATAATGGTGGTGGTGGAACCCACGACCTCCTGTGTACCAGGCGAGGTAGTCAACATCTCATAGCCACTGTGGTGTCAGGGTTTGTGGATCGACCACGACCTCCTGTGTACCAGGCGAGGTAGTCAACATCTCCTAGCCACTGTGGTGTCAGGGTTTGTGATCGAACCCACGACCTCCTGTACACCAGGCGAGGTAGTCAACATCTCCTAGCCACTGTGATGATGGTGGTGGAACCCACGACCTCCTGTGTACCAGGCGAGGTAGTCAACATCTCATAGCCACTGTGATGATGGTGGTACCCACGACCTCCTGTGTACCAGGCGAGTTAGTCAACATCTCGAGTAACTCAGAGAGACGGCTGCTTGCTTCTTCACTTTATTATTGTTGTTGTGAAAGTTGTCAACATCCACACATCAACGTCATCGCCGCCTCCTGCACTAGTCCATCGGTGCGATCGTCATCGTTACCATGGATACACCTCATTACAATCGTTACCGTGGTAACACACATGTCAATCGTTAGCATGGTAACACGTTAACGTCACAATCGTTACCATGGTAACACATCTCATCATAATCGCATCAAAATTTCCACGCCGTTGAACCATCATCACCACCATCATCATCATCACCATCATCACCATCATCATCATTATCACCACCATCATCATCACCATCATCATCATCACCATCATCACCATCATCATTATCACCACCATCATCATCACCATCACTATCATCACCACCACCATCATCATCATCATCACCATCATCACCACCATCACCACCATCATCACCACCATCATCACCACCACCACCATCATCACCATCACCACCATCACCACCATCACCACCATCATCATCACCACCACCACCATCACCACCATCACCACCATCATCACCATCACCACATCATCATCATCACCATCATCACCATCCTCACCATCACTACCACCACCATCATCACCATCATCACCACCACCATCACCACCATCACCACCACCACCATCATCACCATCACCACCATCACCACCACCACCATCATCATCACCACCATCACCACCATCATCACCACCATCACCATCATCATCACCACCATCATCATATCATCACCATCATCAGCACCACCATCATCATCACCATCACTACCACCACCATCACCACCATCATCATCACCATCACTACCACCACCATCACCACCACCATCATCACCACCATCATCATCACCACCATCACCACCATCACCACCATCATCATCACCATCACCACCATCATCATCATCACCACCATCACCACATCGTCACCATCATCACCACCATCACCACCACCATCATCATCACCATCACCACCACCATCATCACCATCACCACCATCACCATCATCATCACCATCACCACCATCACCACCACCATCATCATCATCACCATTACCATCATCATCACATCACCACCATCACAACCATCATCACATCACCACCATCAACCACCATCATCATTGTGTGTGTGTGCGCGTGTCATTGCGTGATTATGTGATTGTGTGTGAATGTGATTGTGTGTGTGATTGTGTGTGTGTGATTGTGTGATTGTGTGTGTGAGTGTGTGTGTGATTGTGTGTGTGATTGTGTGTGTGCGATTGTGAGATTGTGTGTGTGTGTGATTGTGTGTGTGATTGTGTGTGTGTGTGATTGTGTGTGGTGAGTGTGATTGTGTGTGTGTGAGTGTGTGAGTGTGATTTGTGTGTGTGAGTGTGACTGTGTGAGTGTGATTGTGTGGGTGTGATTGTGTGGGTGTGTGTGATTGTGTGTGTGATTGTGAGATTGTGTGTGTGGATTGTGTGTGTGAGTGTGATTGTGTGTGTGATTGTGTGTGTGAGTGTGTGTATGATTGTGTGTGTGAGTTGTGATTGTGTGTGATTGTGTGTGTGTGTGATTGTGTGTGTAAGTGTGTGATTGTGTGTGTGATTGTGTGGGGTGTGTGATTGTGTGGGTGTGTGAGTATGTGATTGTGTGTGTGAGTGTGATTGTGTGTGTGTGATTGTGTGTGTGAGTGTGATTGTGTGTGTGATTGTGAGATTGTGTGTGTGATTGTGTGTGTGAGTGTGTGTGTGATTGTGTGTGTGTGTGTGATTGTGTGTGTGAGTGTGATTGTGTGTGTGTGTGTGATTGTGTGTGTGATTGTGAGATTGTGTGTGTGATTGTGTGTGTGATTGTGTGTGTGAGTGTGATTGTGTGTGATTGTGTGTGTGTGATTGTGTGTGTGATTGTGTGTGTGTGTGTCTGTATGTGTGATTGTGTG